TAGAATGGCCATTCTCTTCTTTTTGAACCATTCGGACATCTGAAAAAATAAAAACGAATTTTGGAACATGTCAAGCACTGAAATAGTAAATTTAATACTCACAAATTTCGCATTGCAGCCAGTTTTCCTTCTCAGCTCTTTTTTGTTTCTTCCAAGAAACTGCTGCTCTTCAAAAAGTTTTCCTAAAATCTGTTCGACTTGGTAATCATCTCTTGCACTTCTTCTATCGTTCATCTGTCTGGGCTTTGGTATTCTAGCTTGACCGCCTTGTTGCTCAACATTTTGACGGTTTGTTTCGATTGAGAGTTCCTCTCTAATCGTCACTTGTTGATCAACTAATCCCTCCACATCATTATCTTCTTCTTGCTCTCTATCTTCGTACTGATTGTCCATCTCTTCTCGAAGTTCATTAGCCGCTTCATCCATCTGGTAGTCAACCGCTTCATCCATCTGGTGTTCCAAATCCGGCTCATTGTGATCCCCTTCATTAGCGTTCTGTGCATTTAACAATTCGTCTTCCTCTTCCTGTTCCACATTGCCATCTTTGGTCTCTCCCTGAAGCTCCTTTAACACTCTAAAGCGTTCTATAAAGTAGTCCGCTACCTAAAAAAAAACTTTGATGTCGATAATTCAATTTTTCACTCACGTCATTGCTGCATACATCTTCTCTCATTCCAATCTCATAAATTTTATCGGCGTCCGTGTATGCTTCATACTTCTTGAAAAGTCTTTCGAAATTGGCCATTTCCTCTGGCAACACCGAAATTTCTTTTTTGAAAAATGATTTTAGAGTCTCTTTTCTCTTCATTCTCAGCCAGTTCCGTATCTGTAAAAATTAATTTAAACATGTGAAAATAGTTCCAATACTTACCTTTTTCCAGGGGTGTCCCGTTTTCTCTTCCAACGCTTTGACCCGAAATCTAAAAAATTGCTTTTTTTGGAAAATTGTCTCCATGATGCCAACGAAGCCAGCAAGTTCCTGCTGCTGCTTCAACTTGCGTTGTCGAGTGAACCAATGATGATCCTGCTCAATGTGATCCTCTTCATGAGCATCCTGTTCATTTTCAAATTCCTCTTCTTCCTGTTCTTCGTGGACGTCTTCCATATCCTTCCGGATGTTAGCCATCACAACCTGTCGGTCCACGAAATATTCGGATAACTGAAAATTCTTTAATGGCGATAATTTGAATATTTCCACTCACGTTATAGCCGGACACATTTTCTTTCAGTTCAATGAAAGCCACTGCATCGGCGCCCATGGGACTATTGTACTTTTGGTGAATTCTCTCAAAGGTTGCCATTTCTGTTGGTAAAACAGAAATTGCCTCTCTAAAGTATGACTCTAGGATATCTCTCCTTTTGGTTTTAAGCCAGTTTGAAATCTGAAAATGATTGATTTCAGCATGGGAAAATATTTCAGATGCTTACCTTGCTCCAAGGGTATCCCGTTTTCATTTCCAAAGCTTCGTTAGAAATTGCAATGAATTGTCGTTCTTGGAAAACTTTTTCCATGACGTCATTGAAGAGGTTGAGTTTCTGTTGCTGCTTCTGTTTAATACTCTGATGCCTAATCTCATCGTCTGCATTGATTTGGACCTCTCCTGGATTCTCAACATCAACTTGATCATTTTCGCCAATTTCCGCAATTGCCTCACATGGAGAAGCTTGTCGATGTTCTTGATCTTCGAGAAACTGACAGTTCACTGGGGAGGTTTGGTGTATTCCTTGTTCTTGAAGCATAGCCAACACTCTCCATCGCTCCAACAAATAGTCCGCTAGCTGAATAAAAATCTTTGAAGTCGATAATCATTATTACCCCTCACATTATAGCCGCACACTTTTTCTCTTTGCTCAATCAAACGAACTGCATCAATACCCAAGGGATTATTGTACCTTTGGTGAAGTCTCTCGAAATTGGCCATTTCAGTCGGTAAGACCGAAATTTCCTTTTTGAAATACGCCTCCAGCGTATTTCTCCTTTTGTTTCTGAGCCATTTCGAGATCTGTGAAATATTTATATGTATTGTGAAAATACAGAATGTGAAAATACCGTAAAACCTTTAGTATTATTTAGAAGGGCCCCTTTAATAGAAGGACCCCTCTAATAGAAGGGCTCTCTAATAGTAAGAGGGGTTTGGAAAAATAGAATTGAACCCTGTAATACATAGAAGGGCCTCTCCAAAATGTGTCTTGAAATAAAAAAAATCCGGTTTTGGTGAGATTGACAGATTTTCATAAATTTTGAACGAAAATTCGTCGAATGTTACAATGAAAAATTTCAAGAAAAACGGCCTGAAAAACAGAAGGACGCCCTCTAATTGAAGTGCCCCTGTGATAAAAGGGCCCTCCGGAGGTACCTTGAAAAAATAGTAGGGTCGGCCCTTCTAATACAGGTTTTACGGTATCCCAATACTTACCTTGTTCCAATCGCCTCCAGTTACCACTTCCAAATTTTTAGTTCGAATTCTAAAATATTGTTGTTTTTGGAAGATTCGTTCCATGGCATCATCGAACGGGGTTCCTGTTTCTTTGCGTAGTTTTTCACGCTCCAAGTTGCGTTGTCGTAGGAACCACCTCTCGATCTGAAGGTTTTTAAAACTAATAAAAATTTCAATTTCAACAATGCGACACTTACCTTTTTGCTCGGCCAGCGAAGCTTTCTCTTCAAGTTAATATTTTTAAAATCAGAAAACAACTGGTTCTTCCTAAAAATTTCCATCAGTATCAGTTCGGCTTCTGTTTTCGGGAGAGGAGCCAAAAGCCCATGCTCTTTTCTGAGGTCGTTCAAGAATTTGCTCACCTGAAAATTATTGGATTACTTTATAAATCTAAAGGATTTTTTTTATATTTCTTACTCTTCGGGGCGCCCAGTGAATTTTATTTTTCAATTCAATGTTCCCATAGTCGTTAAAGAATGGGTCCTTCGCAAAGATTTCCATCAGGATTGGATGAGCTTGTTCTTCAGGGAGTGGAAAATTGGCTGAAATCCCATTTTCCCGTCGGCAGTTATCAAAAAATTCATTTATCTGAAAATTACTTATTTGCTTTCTAAATGGAGAAAAATCCTTTACTCTTTGGATCGGCCAACGTGTCTTTTCTCTCAACTCCGGATTTCTGTAATCACGGAATTGCGGATTTTGATGGAAGAGCTCCATTAAAATCGGTTCCGCTGCCTCATAAGAGAGTTGAGTCCTCTG